GAAGCTGGAATTGCCAGGAAGATCTTTTTCATTTCATCAAAAATCCAAATTTAAACCAAAACAAAACAGAAGATGAAGCTCAAGGTCAATTTCCTTTCAAAGAAATTCCAATGATTTTCTAGCACTGTTCTTCCACACCTCACTGCCTTGCCCASATGAAYAGTAGCACTGACACTTGTAACCCTGATCCCTAGACGATAGGTAGCCATGGGTTTTGAAGGACTCCACAGGGAAATGTCATCCGCTATAAACAAAACGATGGTGTAACATTATCTGGAATTGACTTATCATGTTGGTCATCTCCAAGTTGTTTTCTCATATATTATGTCAGGATAGTTACAGAAAACCACACAGAGATTCAGCGTAATGGATCTTTCATTTTCAGACTAACATTGCTGTCTCTTTTGCAGGTTATTTATGTTACCAGGAACCCCAAGGATGTCGTGGTTTCGTATTATCACTTTWCCAAAATCATAACCACGCTAGAGGAAGTCTCAGATTTCAACCTTCTCTTAGAGACATTTTTAGCTGGCAAAGGTAAGATTTATATCCTGCTAAGAAGCCCAAATCTCATTGCCTACTTTGAGGCTGAGTAGAGATCCATTAGTGCAATCAATGTCACCTACCCGGAGTCCTCAGCCATGAGGAACCTGAATGCAAAGCTGTGGAGGTGGTTTGAGCTTGAGACCATTTTCTATTGGTAAATCATGCCCAAAGGTGTTATTATAGGAAAAATTTTGCTGCTCTCCAGCAAAGTGCAAGGGACTTATTCTTTCCCCATTAGACCTGGACACAGAAAATATGCACTGTGACACAACCAGGAAGCAGATCAGTTTGACCTCATCAGCATTCAGGATTGTCATCCAAACATTGTGATCACATGTCAAAATATCAGAAAGAAATCTCTCAAAATAGCATAAAAAGCAATCTTAAAAAAAGTCTCCAGAAATATAGAAGGTTATAGTGGATTATTAATAACCTCTGAATGCACATGAAATAGTTTGCTATTCACTGCCAAACCCATTCCACATTATGACTCTTTGAGCACAACTACCTGCCAAGCCTCAAGAGAAAAATCTTCTGTTCTCAGAAGTACTGGAGGTAGCAAAACAACTTATAAATCTACAGTATTTATCCTGCTAATTGCATTTCTCTCTCTTTTTTTTTTTTTTTTTTTTTTTTTTTATATTATTATCTGCCTGGGTAAGTCGTGGGTGGTTCATGGGTGGATCATGTTACAGGCTGGTACAGCCACGCTCAGGATTTCAACATACTCTTCCTTACCTACGAAGAAATGAAAAAGGTGAGATGGGTTAGATATCACTGCATTCCAAATATTCTCCTCCTGGTTCTAGAGTAGTCTCAGATGGGCCTCTGTGATAAGAGTTCATATTGGAAAGCCCTAAATCCCTTGAGGAATAGATTCAAATAGATGATGCTTGTAAGGAGATACTCACGTGTCTCATTGGTGCCCAGGTCTTAGCACTTCCTATGGAAGGATTCTATRAAGYCCTTTGCAGTACGGCAGAAGTCTGCCCCTCTACCATGGCAAAAATAACTTCTGAAACAACACAGAAGAAGATCTTTACAAGGTACCTTCCATGTTATGCTCATCAGGACAGWTCCACTAAAGGACAGTAGTGCTTAAGAGGCAGCCTGCCAGAGGCAACTTGCAGAGCTCTCCAACTGCTGACCATGATTTCCTACCAGTTGCTCCTCATGCCTTGGTGAGACTTGTTATTTCTGTGCACTGGCTGCCCTTCTCCCTGCCCTGGGAAAGGGGACAGCAGCACAGTGCACATAATGTCCASCACTTGCCCAGAMTGCAGCCTGGGGCTGCTCACAAGGGGAGTCGAGGCCTTAGTTAGGACAACAGGTGGGACAAATTACAGATTCAATCCCTTCCTTTTTGGTCMCAGACTCTTGCATCTATCTAGATCCAATCCAAAGCATCTACCATGAGACACACAAGGAGTGTACAGTGTAGGGAACAGAATTACCATTTTTTTTTCTTTGCCTACTTCTTGACTCTTTGCATCATAAAGACATTTTGAATATGACATTGATTGTAGGATCTCAGAAGTGCTGTGCTCAAGATCTGCAACTTCCTGGGCAAGCAGTTGAGTGAAGAGGAAGTGGAAAGCGTGGTGAGACAGGCTACGTTTGAGAACATGAAGAAAGATCCCCGAGCAAACTATGAGGAAATGCCAGGATTTCTCAAAGAGGACCGAAAGGGTCACTTTCTACGTAAAGGTAAAGTTGAAGCAGGAAGACACTGTGACTGTTTCATGTCTCTTGGTTTGGGAGGATTTCTGCTCTAGGGAGCTCGGAAGTCCCGTATCTGAGGGACAATTATACTTATTAGAAGAACGTTCCAGTTGGAGCATCAGCAATCTTCCTATATTATCCTGGGGAAAATAAAAGGGCAATATCTTCCCAATAGCAACACCAATTAATGCTGTCCTGTTGCATAAAGGAAATTATCTGTGGGTTGTAGTGTGTCAGGAGTAATATGATGGAGGCATCCTTGTTGACATGATATTGCTGACAAGGCARKAGAAATTGGCTTTCACTGTAGAGGAGAGCCTCTTTGAAAGAGAAACAGATGTTTCTTTCAGCATCTCCAGCTGAGTTAAGACTGACAACAGTGCCAGCTTGGGGATCTTCTCCACACACATACGGCTTTTTTATTTTTCAAGGCAGGGGCGGTACTAACAACTCGAACACAACCTTCTYGAGCAATAATTCTCAGGCTCCAAGAACTTCCTTCCTAACTCTTGGATATTGCTTTGTAAGACTTTCTGCTAATACGTGTAGGATAAGATCTGCTATGCATTAAGGAGAGGGCTGTAGGCACATCAAAACCAAAGGGATTTCCTTTAAGAGGTCTGTGCACTTTCTGCACAGCAGCTCGATTCACAAGCGTGTCTCAGAAGAACAGAGATTCACTCGGCACACCAGTGAAAAGGGAAATGCTGAGGGAAGCACAAAGCGCTTCCCCCAGTAGCTCTCCCTGCTTGCAAGGAGGCTTTCTCAACACGTGCATCTTCTACTTCTCACCTCCCTTTACTTCCTCTCTCTCCTCAGGCACTGTTGGAGACTGGAAAAACCTCATGACAGTAGCACAGAGTGAAAGGGTTGATGAAGTTCTGAAAAAGAAAATGGRGAGTCTGCCCATCAAATTCATCTGGGATATTAACGATAAGATGTAGGCTGCTTTCCTGGGTCATCATCCTTTGCTGTTCAGAGTGGATGTACACGTTGGGTGAAAGAACAAAGCACACTAATTTCCAGCTGCATTGTGGAAATAAAGTTCTAACAGCTCATTCACAATACACGACTAGACCAAGGAGGCATCTCAGTTACACCTGAAGCTTCACAATCTATTTTAGCTTATTTTCATTGCTGTAAACTACAATTTGATTCCTCTGTATTCGCTTTTACTCTCACTATCTTTAAATAAACCTAATGGTAGACAACCAAGTAAGAACTGATCTTGCTATAGAACACCGCTAAAAAATATGCCGAAAAAAAACCAACTTTTTTTTTTGTGGATTTTCTCTTGTAGAAAAGGTTGCTTTCCTTTGCTGTTCACAGTGGATGGATACGATCTGTGTTGTGAAAGAATAAAGCACATCAATTTCCAGCTGCATTATGGAAATAAAAGTTCTGTCAGCTCACTCACAATACATGACTAAACAAAAGAAGCATCTCAGTTACACCAGTTTCCTCTTGGAAGATTCAGAATCTGATTTAGCTTATTGTTGTTGTGATAAACTACATCTTGATTGATTTGTATTTGCTTTTATTATCACTATCTTTAAATAAACCGTGATGGCAGACAACCAAATAAGAATTGATCCACCTATGGAACATTGCTAAAAATATGCTGAAAGAAAGCATCATCTTTTTTTGTGTGTGTGCCTTTCTCTAGTAGATATTATGATATAATATCCGCAGATAATAATTCTTGCTGCAGTGTGCATCTGCTGAAATCCTGCTGCTTGGATTAGTGGGGATATAGAAATAAAACTACATGATCACTGTACCTTCCACAGACAAATCCACATGGTAGTATTTTGTATTTCTTGGAGTATTTTTGTAGTAATTTTTTTGTCAAAATATTATAATATTTTGACATTGTTGTGATCTCTAGGACTTTGTTACAAACCTTGCTCTTTCTTTCTAAACACATTTCTTTCTAAACACATTTCTTTCTAAATACATTTCTTAATGTATTTAGTAGGAACACATGCAAAATGGCTTGGGATTCCTTGTGCCTAGTGTAGGCATCTACTTTACACCTTAATGCTAGAGTACAAGTAGGCAGGAGACGTGCCTTTGGCCAATGTTTGCATAGGGAGCCTGAGGATTTCTTTTAAGCAACATCGGTTTGCTAGCACTGCAGAGGTTTGTACAAGGAAAGTTGACAAACATGGAYAGAACCTTTCCCCTCCCATATAGTCTCACACTGAACTTTGTCCAACAGCAGCAAGCACCCGAAAGGTAAGTGTACGTTAGGAAATAGGGCACCACTATCAGTTATCTACGTTGCAGTGTTTTACTGTTCTGAAAAACAATGAAACACRTGGAAACTCTGTTCAATCAACTGCAGATAGACCTTGATTCAAATTCATGCTGACAAGCAGGGACACAGAAAGACGCTGAGAAAGCTGCTGTGAGACCATGCTTGCTGCTCTTTGAATCCTCAGAGCAATGCACCTGAGGGTAGAAATCAARCTTTAGGACCAACAGATAGTACCTTTATGACATTCGTATACCTTTCAAAATAGATACTCAATTACAAAATACTAAAGGGAGGGAGGACAACAAAAAAGACARAACATGTTTATCTGTCACCATGAGGCTTTTCTCTATGATGAAAACAAAAATCAACAATTTTCCTCTTCTGTCTTATTCTTACGCTGTCCCACCCAACCGCTCTGTTGTGCAAGTTAGGGGACGCCCTGAGGTATTGATCTGAGTTAAAAAGTAATTCTTCACAAAACACAACTCCGAACACGGGAAAATAATGTCTTTCTCTGTGATTTGATGAATGTGAAGGCAATGGTGATAAAGGTTTCAGGCATGATTGTATTATTCTGCGAATAGAAAGACAGGCATCTAGAAACATGAAAAAATGTCATCTCGGATCACGTTGACTCATCTTGCAACTCCACAACATCCAGCAATAGAGCTTTACATAAAAAGGAAAAGTGATTTCATTTTCTCTCTGCCTTGGCAAAACARCTAACTAAATAATATTGTTGCCTTCTTAAATGTTCTCCTACCACCTGTTCTCATCAGTTTTCATTAGGGAGGAATCAGATGAGCTCCTGAGGAGTCAAACTACTGATTTTTGAATTGTAAATATTCTT